CTTTCAGGATGAAAAGAAAGTCAAGAAGATTAAATGATCAGACTACTTTTTCCTAGCCTTTGGCATTTTTACCAAGGACAGCACACATTATTACTAAGTATTGTAGCTAAAAATTCCATTAAGTACTTTTAACAACAACACAATGATAACTGTCATTTGCACAGTCTGCCTTTTACAAAGGCTTCCACAAATGCTCTCATTTGGATCTCAAAACAATCCTATGTAGCTGGGATGATTTTCTTTATTGAAGATATCTATATGTGTGAGTGTACATATATCTCATCCTAACATAAACACATATTCACAGAATTTGGAAAAGAAAAATGTCTACTGAGTTCACTGAGTGCCCACCAGGTGCCAGGTTCTATAGTAAATGCTACACTTACACTATTTCATTAATCCTATTGTTATCCCTATTTTGCCAGTAAAGAAGAGAGGTTTGCTTACCTAAGACCCAGAGGTAGTGTCCAGAAGGAATGGAATTCAACTCCATGTCTCCCAGACTCCAGGGATTTTGTTCTTTCTACTACAGGTTGAGCAGCCGAAATCCGAAAATGCAAAATTTAAAATGCTCCAAAAATCCAAAATCCTTTCTGAGCACCAACATGACACCCAAAGGCAGTGCTCACTGGGGCAAGTCAGATTTTGGGTTTCAGATTTGGAATGCTCAACCAGTAAGTATAATGCAAATATTCCAAAATTGTTTAAAAAATCAAAATTCAAAACACTTGTGGTCTCAGGCACTTCAGATAAAGGATACTCAGCCTGCACAACAAAGCATTCTTGTGAATTGAATTGAGCTTTAATGATGTGACTAAGCCTAGTTGATAGCACAGAAGGTTTGAGAGCCATGTTGTCAGGGAGAATCCATTGCCTACACCTTCTCAACAAAGATTTCAAAAATGAGACACCAAGTGGTGGGGCCTTCCAGTCAATTCCAGCCCTTCTGCAGTCATGCACATGGGCTTTTCAGTGAACAGAAATGAAATATTTGTTTGATCACTGTTTACTGAAAGAAGAAAAGCTGGGAAAAACTCTGCGTTCCTCCTTTTAACATTTAACTACAGACTAGATAATTCCAGGCTATGAGATTAAGTAGGGTACACACAAAATGCTTTTGTGTTAAAATTACACAATTGTTCTGGATCCCAAAGGCCACAGCCTTTTTCTTTCTCTTTTTAATTAATATTTTGTTCTTTTTTATTAATATAAAGATGTGGGGTACAATTCAGGGTTAAATATGCAAACATTGATTATGCAGGTACCCTTGTTGATGAGGTATGCCCCTCCCTCCCCTAGCAGTTTCCTTCAACTGCCAATCCCAGCCCCCTCCCCTGACAATTTCCCACTACTGCCAAATGCTTTCTTATAATATTATAATTGTTCAGGTCTGCTTATGAATGAGAACATATGGTACTCTGTTCTTTGTTTCTGTGATAGATCACTGAGTATGATCGAGTCTAAATTCATCCAAATTGCTGCAAAGTTCATATGTTTGTCCTTCTTTATGACTGAATAATATTCCATTGTGTATATATGTATAACATTTTTTTATCCATTCCAGCTTCGATGGGCAACATGGTTGGTTCCGTGTTTTTGCTGTTGTGAATAGAGCTGCAACAAACATACGTGTGCAGGTATCTTTTTGGTAGAATGATTTGAGTTCCTCCGGGTATATTCCCAATAGGGGAATTGCTGGGTCATATGGAAGGTCTAGTTCTTTCAGAAACCACCACACTGTCTTCCAAAGAGGCTGCAGCAGTTTGCATTCCCACCAGCAGTGTAGAAGCATTCCTTTTTCTCCACATTCTTGCCAGCATCTGTTTTTGTTTGTTTTATTAATGATGGCCATTCTTACTGGGGTTAGGTGGTATCTCAATAGGGTTTTGATTTGCATTTCTCTGATGATGAGTGAGGCTGAGCACTTTTTCATGTGTTTGTTGGCTGCCCATATATCTTCTTTTGAGAAGTGTGTATTCATATCTTTTGCCCTCTTTTTAGAGGGGCTGTTTGTTTTTTTCCTTTCGGTGCATTTGAGTTCCTTGTAGATCCTAGATGTTAGGCCTTTGTCAGATATACAGTTGGCAAATATTTTTTCCCATTGTGTGGACTGTCTCCCTGCTCTCTTGATGGTTTCTTTTGCTTTGCAGAAACTTGTTAGTTTGATGAGGTCCCACTTGTCTATCTTATTTCTTAATGTATGGGCATTTAGGGTTCTGAATAGGAACTTGTTGCCAGTTCCAATTTCCATAAGAGTGTCTGTTGCGTTTTCTAAGATTCTTATAGTTTGGGGTTTTACGTTTAGGTCTTTAATCCATTTAGAGTTAATTTTTGTGTGTGGTGATATGTAGAGGTCCTGTTTCAATCTTCTGCATGTGGGCAGCCAGTTTTCCCAGCACCATTTACTAAATGAGTTCTCCTCTCTGCAGTGGTTGTTATTGGAGGCTTTGTCAAAGGTGAGTTGGCTGAGAAATTGAGGCTTTGCTTCCAGAATCTCTATCCTGTTCCATTGGTCTATGTACCTGTTCTTGTACCAATACCAGGCTGTTTTGATTACTGTAGCCTTATAGTAAAGTCTGAAGTCTGGAAGTGTGATACCTCCTGCTTTGTTTCTTTTGCTAAGAATTGTTTTGGCTATTTGTGGTCTTTTATGTTTCCATATGAATTTCTGTTTTCTCATTTCCAGGTCTGAGAAGAATGATGTTGGTAACTTAATGGGTATTGCGTTGAATCTGTAGATTGCCGTTGGTAGGACGGACATTTTAACAATGTTGATTGGGAGGCTGAGGTGAATTGCTGGAGCCCGCAGATTCGAGACCCACCTGGGCAACTTGGTGAGACCTCTTCTCTACAATAAATCAAAAATTAGCCGGGCATTGTAGTGCGCACCTGTAGTTCCAGTCTTGCGAGGATATGGAGAAAAACCATTTCTAGAGTGACATACAGGATCAAGGAAGTAAATCTAGTCTCATTGAGTGTATTTCCAGAGACCTGGGAATGTCTGATAGTGACCAGACTTCTGGTAAGAAACTGATAAAACCCTCTGGGCAGTATCAACAGTGAATGCTGGGGGGGCGGGGGACACTGCCAGTATGGGCTTGAACCAGTGGATTCGACTTCAGAGTCTGCATGCTATACTACATTCCCTCTGGTCATGAGATCTTGAATATGGTAGGATTGGGCTCGCTAGGAGGAATTTCCTGTGGAGAGCAGCCTTCGTGTTGCTCCTGCTCTTGTGGGTGATTCTAGCACATCTTTCTCTCATGTGCACCTCACATGCTTTTTTTAATTTTAAATTTTAAATATGTGGGGTACAATTCAGGGTTAGGTATATAAATGTTCATTATGCAAGTCACCTCATACTCTTTCTACCCACTCATTCTGCTCAGGCCATTCTCGTATGTGTCCCACAAGTTTGATGCCATAGCAGCTTGGCAGCTGTGGTTTGGTGCAGTAAGACCATACGGGTCTCTCAGAATGCTTTTCAGTCCTCCCCTTCCCCACAACAATCCTCTCAAAAGCTTCCCTAATTTAAAGAGGAGGATTTCATTTTTTTTAAAAATTGGAATCTCACTTTGTTGCCCAAGCTGGAGTGCAGTGACACACTCACAGCCACCCCAGCGTCGACCTGGTGGGCTCTGGCGAGCCTTCCGCCTCAGCCTTCCAAGTAGCTGGAACTACAGACATGCACTACCATACCTGGCTAATTTTTTACTTTTATTGTAGAGACGAAGTGTCGCCAAGTTGCCTGGGCTGGTCTCGAACCCGTGAGCTCAGGCAATCCGCTCATCTCGGCCTCCCAAGGTACTGGGGTTACAGCCTGAGTCACCGAGGAGGAGAATTTCTAATGGGGTTCTGGGGGCAAGGAGGCCCATGAAATCCCAAGACAAGTGTGTTACAGAGAAGGAAACTACAGAGCCCTGGGCTGCAGAGGCAGTCTAGGCCTTACCACTGCTTAGCTGTCTCATGCAACACCTCCAGTTTATAGCTGGAGGTGTAAAATGCTCTCGGCTCCTAATCCTAGAGTGGGAAAATGGCTGCCCTGTGTGGCTCCTGTGCTCACCCACAGCCTACTAGCCACAGGAAGTCAGCTCAGCTCTCCTTGATTTCCAGTGCTCAGATTTTAGGGAAAGGAATCAGATCAGCCAAACTTAGGCAGAAAGCCACCTCTGGTACAATCAGCAATGGGGAAGAGGATCACCAGGCATTAACCTAGTGCTAGAACTCACCCCCTGTGGCACAGGGAGGCAGATTCTAGAGGTAGACTCTATGATCAGGGCAGCTGCTCTACGGCTGTCTGCTACACTGCCCCCTTCTCCCCATCCCAGCATGTAGCCTGTGTTCCTGCTGTAAAGACTCTCATCAGCTTCTCAGTTCCTGGGGTTCCCCTATGTGAGACGGCCCATGGAGTAGGGTGCCCCCCACCCCTGCTTCACCTTTCCTTGCTGTTCCTAAAAGTAAGCCCCAGACTTTTCATCTTAAAGGTTTACTAATAATCATGATGAAAAAGCAGGCAGGGACTAGTGAGTAATTCACCTGGGAAAGTTTCAAAGGTCTCGGGAATCCTGAGTTCCAGAGTCTCAAGCCTTTAGTTTCTGACACTCTTGCGAAGCAGCTTTTGGGAAAATGGGCCCTTTGAGCTGCTGGCAGACTGGCCACACAGGACCCAGTAAAGTCCATGGTGCTTGTCATCTGTGTGTCTTTTCCTGTCTTCAAATCTTTCTCTGCTTCCCGGTTGGAGAATCCCTAGCACTGGACTTTGGCATGGACCCAAGAATCAGGAGGCGCCAAATGATTGTTCGCAGTGGCAGCAAATGGACTGACTCTTGCCTCCTCAATTCTACTAACTGTAAAGACATCCTTGCTTAGAAAGGAGCATTTCACTGCCTTGGACCTGCCCCCATGAGTGTGGGCTGTGGTACAGGAGCCGCCTCACTGCCCTGTGCCCAGGAAACTAAAGATGGAGTTCTTCATCCATGGTTTCCAGCTTTGGATTGCAAATGGTAACTGGCTATCAGCGCATGAGAACCCTAGGGATGGGGTGAGGAGATGGAGAAAGAATGAGTTAGCAAAAGGCTGCTGAGACATAAATAAAAGTGCCTGTATGGAGCTCCAACTGTCGGGGATGACAGAGAGTGTGTACTTGGAGAGATCAGGTGACCGCGCTTGCAAATGAAAATCCTGTCTGGAGCCTCTTGCCAAGCCCTGTCCCCAAGAACAGGATGAGCGCTGGCACGACTCCAAGGTGTGTGATTCATGGGCCAATTTTGTCTCTCTGGGGAAACTGCATGTGTACAGTATTTTGAAGCCATCCCCTGGTGATGGCATGATTTATATTCCCCAGGGCAGGTGGGAGCTGGACTTCTTGCAGGGTCCTTGGAACAGATGCAGGAAGGGTAGGCGGGCAAGTGGCGAAGCTGCCACTTGTCTGAGTTGCTTCCACTCCCCAGCTTCTCTCAGCCCTCATCAGGATGGTACCTCACTGCAATGATCTACACCTTAGCCTTCCACCTGCCGCAGACAGGACTCTGGCTGGTGGGCAAATGCCAAGTCAGGGGCCTGGAGCAAGAAAGAGTCCTCACCATCCTCAGGGGTCCAGGAGTAGAAATGGCCATGGAGGAAGGGAAATAGAGAGTGGTCATCAGATTCAGAGGGCAGTACAATAGGCAGAGCCAAGGGTCCAGAGCTGGTGGCAAGAGTACAGAGTGATCAGAGTGAGAAGGAGAGGTGCCTGCCTTGCTTGCCAGTGCTGGGCTGCTGGTAGGTCAAGAGCGCCCTCCTCTTCTGCTCTTGCCCTGCCACCCAGCTCACTTGCCCTCACTCCCTCCAGGTGTCCTCTCTGCTGAGCTGTGACCACCAGTTTTGCCAGCAAAGCCAGTGCTCCTCTATTGTTTCTTCTTTGTTTCAGATTATGGCCAAAACCAGGCCAGAAGCCATGAGCTCCAGGGGCCCTTTCTTCACAACCACTGTTGGTTTATTCAACCACATTCTCATATTCATTCCCTCCTCCTCTCTTCCTTTCTCTTTGTGTGTGTCTCTCCCCGCTCCCCCCATCCTTCCTGGTTGTTCATTCAGTCTCTGTGTATATACACACACATACTACTTGTGATCATTTATTTTTTGTGTTGCAGAGATTACCATGCCTATCTAGCATCTTCTTGGAGCTTCTCAAGGACAGTAGGTTTCTTCATTTGAAGTAATCCCAGCCCCAGCTTAGAGTCTGGCACATACTAGTTGCACAGTGAATGTTTCTGAGGGTTTTTCAGCCTAATGGCTGGATGAATGAATGGCACCAAAGTGTATCTTACTCTTCTGATTCCCTTCCAGCATTTGCTAATAGCAGAATTTACTTTATTTATTTTTACTTTTACTTATTATTATTATTATTATTATTTTAATTAACATGTAGTAAGTATCAGTCTGTATCAAAGAAGGAATAAGAAACCACACAGTAATTTGAACAGAAACCATTTAAGATAAAGAACTGGGCTGGGCAGTAAAGAAGGTGGCCTGCCCCTGTCCAGAGTCCCACTTGCCCCACATGCAAGAAGCTTGTGTGTCTCTCTTATGCCTCCAGTGCCATGGTGCACTCTACTTCTCACACTGGTCCTCAGTCAGCAGGAAGGTTTAACTTTGGGAGGCGGAAGCAGAATGATCCATCACTTGAGGTCAGGAGTTCGAGACCAGCTTGGGCATCATAGCAAGACACTGTCTCTACAAAAAAAAAAAAAGGAAAGAACTGAGAATGGTGGCTTGTGCCTGTAATTTCAGCTCCTTGAGTCTGAGGTGGGAAGATCACTTGAGCCCAGGAGACTGCAGTAAACTATGATTGTGCCACTGCACTCCAGCCTGAGCAACAGAGTGGACCCTGTTTTGAAAATAACAATAATAAACAAATAATTGTTAACTGTACTAGAGATTGGAGTAAAGGGGATTGGCTAGTAGGCATAATTGACTATCAGCCATTCTTAGTCAGGAGTCCCACCCAGTATCATTGCTGAAGCAACGTGAATTGAATTAAGGCCTGTGGTGACCAGACTAGGTGTGATGTGCCACCTCTAGAAGGTCACCTAGTGAAATGGGTGCAGGAGAGCATGTGCTGTGCCTCTGCCGTGTAGATGAGACTTGTTTTGTAAATGGGAGATTGCCTTATCTGTGACATCGCCTGTTTGTTTTCCCTGTGGTCCTTTGAAGGGTCAGGAAGTAGGAAACAACCCCATTAAGCAGGAGATTCCGGGGCTCCCTCTGCAACTGACAGCGAGAGTGGAGCTGCAAGATAATGGAGATGATACAGGTCCAGATATTCCTTCTCCCCTTTGCACAGCACTGAATGACAAGCAGATTTCTCAGCTCCAAGCAGGCAGTCACATTCAGATGATAAATGTGTCCCTGGACAGAAGAACTTGTTGAATGATATTTACCAGGGCTCTGTGAGGACCTTCAGCTCTCAAGGGAGCCTTTCCTGCCTTCGCCTTCTCGCCTGTTCTGCTGCTGTCCATAGGCGGGGAGAGGAATAGAAGCTGTCCAGCATGACAGATGCCCTAGTGATCTGTCTAGATGCTGGAGGTTTCCTAGATTCTCTTGCTTTCTGTATTCAGCCCCTCCCTCTCGCAGGCAAACCCCAGCAGAGAAAAGCAGGGAGTCTGTGAGAAGCTTAGAGCTTAAAGGGGGAGGGGTGAGCAGTGGATGACTGCCACAGACCCGGCTCTACCACCTAATGCTCCTTGGCCAGGGTCCTTGGCTTCTCCAAGCCTCAGCTATAAGACAGAGTTGATAGAAGCTACCTCACAGGGTTGTCACAGAGATAAAATTAAATATGTGTAGGGATACTTTGCACATCATAAATGCTCTCCAGCATGAGTCATTCACTCATTCAGCAATTCCTTGTGGCATACCTACTGCATGCCAGGTACCACGCTTTTAGAAAAGCCAGTTCCAGACTGCAGGCTGGGAAGAAGAGCAGGCTGATGGCCAGCCCCTTACCAGCCATCAGCATGGTTCTGAGACTGTTACTTGATGTTTTTGTCTGGGTTCTCTAGAGAAAAAGACCAATAGAAGAGTAGACGTATAAATATATATACACACACACATATATAGACATCCTGTACTGTTTTTTCATTCGGGCTCTGTGTATGCACATACACGTACTGCTTGTCATCATTATTTTTTGTGTTGCACACATATACATGATAGAGTATCTTTGTATATGCTCAATATGTATAAATAGGGTGTGTATATATATTTATTCATGTGTTTATATAAAAAGATGAAAGACATTTATTATAAGGGGTTGGCTTGCATGGTTATAGAGGCTAAGAAGCCCCAGGATCTGCACCAGTTAGCGGGAACTCACTTCCAGGAAAACCAATGGTGTAAGTTCTGGTTTGAGGCTCTTTTGATCTCTTCAGCCCTTTAATGGATTGGTGGATGAGGCCCACTGAGGAGGACAGTCTACTTTACTCAGTCGACTGACTCAAATTTTAATCTCATCTAGAAATGCCCTCACAAACACACCCAGGATAATGTTTAGCCAAATACCTGGGCACCCTGCTGCCCAGTCAATTTGACATAAAATTGCCCATCACACCAGCGCTGGTGTTCACATAAAGCATTCAAGTTTGCATAGCAACTTTACACAAAGAGTCTCATTTGGCCTCCAGAACGACCTAGGAAGACATTTATTACCTTTCTCTGTCAAAAGTGTTACTAGCCTGGCCATCTGAAGTGGGTTACATTCACCTTAACCTATACCCCCATTCACCAAGCCTCTTTTCTCTCAGTGGCAGGAAGTCCTTTTCCCTTTTCCCGAGTCCCACTTGCCCGGCATGTGAGGCTTGTATATCTTTCTTGTGCCTCCAGGGTCTTGGTGCGCGCTTCACTTCTCACACTGGTCCTCAGTCAGCAGGAAGTTTTAAAAGAAGCTATCCTGTGGTCTTAGGGTTATCTGTGAACTAAACAGCATTCAGCACCTCAACAAAGTCTGAATGTAATCCTGACGCTAGAGGAAGGCAAGGGCTCGATGCCGAGATGTGCCTTTGCTGCATGATCAGTGGTGAGACATGGCAGAGGATAGCTGCAGAGGGCACACGTTCCTGCAGACACGCTTGCCCTGGGGTGGCTGTCTGTCTTATCATGCCTTTACATTTAATAAGTCTTGAGTAATTTTAATCATGCTGGTGAAGCAAGACACTCCTGGGTATTTCTGTGTACTTGAAACCCATTGTGAGATGTTCTATTAAGTCTGTCATAGGGAAAATAGGAATTCATTAATTCAAAAATGGTCACATCTTCATGCGGAGCTTGAAAAATGGGCCACACCAGCAGTGTTTCTCTAGCTTAGCTTTCAAACAGCGCCACTCTGCCTGGTCTTGCTGCTCCTCTTGAGCATGTGTGTCTCCTCATCTGGAAAATGCCTTTTTAGGCCACATGTCTCCCATGCCTAGGATGGCACCAGGCACACTATTTCAGGAACGGACTGGACTAGAGCTTGTACTGGGAGGATTGTCACACAGCTGCACTCACCTCAGCTCTGCTCTGGAAAGAGTGCCTGGCCAGCCCATCACAGGTAGCACGTCCTGCAGTGTGTGTCCTGCACATGCTAGACATTGGGACTTAATGCCAACTCTGCTCCTGCCTGTAGGGAGTTGCCAGCCGAGAGCAGGGTGGGCTGTGACAGTCCATAAACAGCCACCCAGAGTTCATCTCTTCAAGAGCACTGGACAAAAGAGGTTTGGGAAAAGGGCCTCAGGGACACCAAGGCGGGGTGCAAGGTGATGCCAGCATCAGGAGTCATCAGCACTGGGAGTTTGTTGGATGACAGAATGGCACAGGCCCTCAGAGCTGACTTCTTTAGCTGCATTGTGTCCTTTATCTGATTGACATTTTCTGCCATTTTTTCTGCAGGGCCTGTGCCAGCAGTGAGACAGAGAGTGAAGCAGGAGACATTATGGACCAGCAATATGAAGAGATGAACAACAAACTCAACTCGGTCACGGACCCCACTGGCTTTCTGCGGATGGTTCGCCGCAATAACCTCTTTAACAGGTGCGTGTGGGGCTCCTTCCCGGCCTGGCGCGGGGCAAGGTGCTCTGAACACAGATAACATGCTTTCCACAGATGCTCTTCCAGCCGATTGGGCTTCTGGCTCATGCCATGCATTCGCAGACGCAAGCACGATGCTTCCACAGCCCTGTGCTTGTCAGGGCCTCTGCTTCCCAGCAGCACCTCCTGCGCCAGTGAGAAAACAGTGACAGGCTTGATGTGACAGTCCTCATTTGACTGGGATGGGAGGCCTAGGGGATGGTTGACTGCTTCTTCACAAAGCTTCAGCTGACTTCCCGAGCACCAGGCAGGTGCTAGACAGAGCAACTTCACAGACTTCTCTGGCAGCTTCTGCAAGTACCTCAGGGCCAGGCACCTGGGTTGACTTCCTGGCCCAAGATTTAGGGAGGCCAGAGAGGGTGGAAGTGCCAGCATTGTTGGAGGGAGAAACTGGGCCTGGAAATGTACTCCAGACGCAGCTCCCCGTCTTCCCTGAGCCTTCAGTTCCCCCACACTTGACCAGATAGGCCTGGATCACTTCAGGCAACTTGAGGGAAACTGCCAGGCCAACACACTTACAGCTTACCAGGAATGATACTGGAACTGGGTCCAGACAGACAGGGCAGGCACTGCAGTTGAGAGGCACCTGTCCTGCTGTCACTTGGTTGCCTGGCAACAACCTGTGAGTACATTTTGGTAGACCTCTCCAGAAAGACATCATGGATTCTCTAGGTCCCTGCCACAGCCCAAGGGCCTGCCTTTCAAGAGCAGCTGGTGACCCTGGATCACAAGAGGGAAGTTGCTATGCACTGGTAGGAGGAAGCCCCTGCCCAGCAGCTCTGCTGTGCCAGGCATTGTGTGCCCTGTCTGTTTCAACTCCAGGCCCTGGTTTCCTCTCATTATTGTGCTGTCTGGGTGACAAACGTGTATTTACTTTCCCAGGGCTGAGCTGAGTGGGAAGGGAGCCAAGGGCCGGGCTGAAGGAACTGGCAGTTTGGTTGTGAAGAGTCCACAACTTCAAGCTGCTTCATTCAGTTCCTTCTCACTACCAGCTTCACAAGTGTTGCTTGTGGCTTTTGGTTTCATATTGAGACATTACCAGGTGTGAAGAGGCCCAGGATTGGGCCTGGGCTCACACTCTTGCTCTGCCGACCTCTTGCCTGTGAGGCAAGGGATTCTCAACTCTGCCAGGCGATGTGACACATGGTTGTAAACTAGAGTGTGAAGTACTCCAGTCTCTGGCTTTCCACTTGCCAGCTGTGTGGCACTGGACAGACAGTGTCACAATTGCCAGCCTCAGCTTCCTCATCTCTGGAGTGGGCATAGGTTCCCTACCCTGCAGGGTTGCTGTAACATGGGAATTAAAGGCACCATACCCAAAGAACACACTACCCGACTCCTGGTGCAACTGGCAGCTGTCTCCTGCTTTGAGTAAAGTGGGAAGAACGGTGTTAAATGTGGTTGCAGGAGACAACATGGGTGGGTAACTTTGGGAGGGATGGCCTGCCTGTGCAGTGGGTGTTGCTGCCTTGGGTTGTGGCCCCACCCACCTTACTCCCTGTCTCACCTCACGTCCTTCACGCGAGAGAGCCACCAAAGCAGACCATCAGGTGTCCATGGCGACCTAACCGCAGATACTCTGACAGTCAGCAGCCAGTCCCCAGGCCCCGGGCACCATGGAAGGAGAGGGTCAAGCCAGATGTATATGAATCCCTGGCTGATCCACCCTGGGCCCCCGGTGGTGTGAATTCTGGATGGTGGAGTCGCTCACTTTGGGAAAACTGTTTTTGTCCTCCAAGCACCCATGAACACAGTGCTATGGATTCATTTGCTGGTCCACATAAACATTGCATTGTGCTCCCAGCTGGGAGACTGGCTGCCCAGCTGCACTGCACCCAGCTCCACTGGCAGGGTCTGACTGGCTTAGGACTTTGGTCCCACCTCAGGAAAGCAAAAGAGTTGGAATGTTTCTCTGCAGGCCCTTCTAATCCTGACCTTTTAGAGGCTCCCAAGAGTGGACAGGATGAGGGCAACAGCCCACATTCTTCCTGCTTCCATATAGTGAGCCCTTAAGACCCAGGACCATTTGCAGTACTGTGTGTTCTCTGCTGCCTTCCCTAGAAGCCCAAGAAGAGAGGGCTCTGGCTGCCTCCACAAGGGAGCAGAGCTGCCGCCGAGGGAGCCACAGAGAAAAGGTGTCCTGTTAGAATAATGCACACTCTTGCACACTCCCAGTGCGGCCTCGTGCCTCACAGCTAAGCATGCACAGGCCCAGGAGGAGGGCAACCTGCCATGCACAGATACACAGCTGGGCTTCAGAGCATGCCTTCCAGCTGCCCTGCCAGCCCATCACAGCCCTGCTCTGGGGTCCCAGGCCTCTATCTCTGCCTCTTCATGGCCAGGGTCTGGGCTAAACGATGTGCTGGCCTATCACCAAACAAAACAGTGAAGAAATGGCTTTCCCAGAGACCTCTCATAGTGACTGGCTTTTGCAGTGTACTGGTGCCCATGAAGGGAAGGTGGCAGCCACCATGTGCATGGGTCCTGCATGCCAGAGCACACCAACTCCCCTCTCCAGGGGCTCTCCCACTTGGTGATGTCATGGATTCCTTGGTCCCTTTGTTTCTGGGTGGTTTGCTGGACTGACTTGGCAATGAGGCTGCTGTAGTTAATGCAAGTCAAGTTAGACTTAGCTCTTACATATTTCTCTCTTGCCGTTCCAGGGATTGGCTTTGTTCAGTCGTTGTTTGTGAGGTCTCTGCAACCACTATTTTTCTTCTTGCCTGTGCACTTTAGCAGAAAACACAAAGCTGGGTGCAGTGGCTCACCCCTATAACCCCAGTACTTTATGAGGCCTAGGCAAAGGATTGTTTGAGGCCAGGAGTTCAAGATCAGCCTAGGCAACATAGTGAGACCTTGTCTCTACAAAAAATTTAAAAAGTAGCTGAGTCTGAACTGGCTGCAGTGTCAGGGATGCAGGGGATACCCCCGCAGGCTTCTCCCTGCCCTCTCCCCCGTTCCCAACACCAGAGGGTCAGACCCTGACAGTGGGGACAGGGTAGTGTTCCCAGAGCCAGCCCTGTCCTCCAAATTCATGAGAGGAAGGAGGTGGGAAGGATGAGGTGGCCGAGCAGGATTTCCTAGAGGCACAGGGAAGAGAGAACCACAGGACAGTGTGGAGAGTGGTGCCTGAGAGAGGGAGGACGGCCCTCCCAAGGTCAACCTGGCCAGGAAGCTGGAGCCCATGCACACAACTGTCAATCTGTTCCCGCTGTACGTGCATCTGCATGGATGTGTGGTTGTGGTTTCATGAACACACATATGGGCCCTGTCTCAAGGTTATACCAACATGTGCTGCAGCAGAGCTGCAGAGTTCCAGTGTAGACAGTGAGGCCCTGTGCACATGGTGCCCTGCTGACCGCTGTCTTTTTGGGCCTGGGCGTTTTTCTGCAGTGAGGCTCATGGTGCTGGGGAGAAATCTGCTGTGGCCAGACAGATTGTGATTTGAAACCTGGCTCTCCCCTTTATTTGTGGATGGCCTTCTGCCTCTGTCTTTCTTATCTGGAGAACGAGGTGGTAATGCTCACTGAGAGTCACTGCTAGGATGCCATCCATGTGGTAGGGACTAGAGGGTCCTGCTGTATCCATGCTTCCTTTCTCTCCCACCCAGAGTCTAAGGTATCTGTGGTGCCAAAGGTTTTTGGGGGGGGCAGCAAATTAGCCACTCAAAAGATCCAAAAAATCAGATCTTCCCCTGATACCTGACTGGATGGCTCAATCTTCCTCTTGGCGCTAGCTCTCTCAGGCACCAGAAAGACCGAGTAGACACAGCAATGGCCCAGTCTGATAGCAGCTATAGCAGTGGGCCTGGCTTTGAGCCTCCAAGGCTCCATATCCAGCTTTATGGCTGGTGTCCAGTCTTCCCTGTCCCTTGCTCTTTATTGGTGGCTCTGTTGCTTCTGGCTCCAACTTGGCCCTTCAGGCCATCTGTGCCACATTAAGTGTGGGTACACAGCACATTATGGTCACCCCACCCTGCTCACCTCACTGTGACTACTCTGGGAGGGACTTTCTTGCCAACAGCTACTCCTGCTGCTGGGTGCAGTCACCAGCCTCTGGCAGGAACCCCTGTCCTGTCCCTGCCTGTCCATGTTGTCTTGAGGCACAGGCCCCGTGTATGTGCTTCCCCACCTGCCAGGTCAGCGCACCCCCACATCCTGCACACACATGCTTCCATGCCATGCTCTTCCCTGGGAAGCACAGGGACCAGCCGGTGCAGATGTGAGATGATGCGATCTTGTCAGAACTACTGTACCAGCAGGTTCGTCAGGCAGCAGTGATTCATTCAAGACACAAAAGGAGCCCCCACAGTGCCTCTGTGTTGCAAGCTTGCCAGGATATTTTAAGGTGCAATTTAGTTTATCAATAATATTTTCTTTAACACTTATGTGTTCACTTTCGTGTTCCAGAAATGATTTAAGAACATTTACCAAAACATACACAAATGCCACAAGATCATATTAAAAAGTTATAAATGGATGGAGCAAGCGCTGCTGGAGCACAGACTGGACTCCAGGTTTTCCCAGCAGTCAGCTTAGAGGTCAGCCCAGACCTGCTGAGCCAGAGGCTCTGGTTTAACAATGCCTGAGTGCTTTCTATGGGAATGCCAGTTTGAAGAGGGCCGCTGCACCTTGGCCTGAGGCACTCCCCAGCTCGGTGGCTCCGAGCACCTGAGTGCCTGACCTTCTCTGCTTCCCACATCCATCTGGCTTCTCCACTCCTGGTAATCCCATGTCCTCTGGCAACTCGTACTAAGACCTGCAGGCTGGACCATGTCCATTTCCTGTTCTCATCCCTCTGTCTGTCCCCACTGCCTGCCCCTGGGTGCTCATGTTCTCACAGAGTTACTGTTTAATGTAACCAGGCACTCAGCAAGGCAAACTGCCCCAGGGCTCTCCACTACTTAGTGACAGGAGCATGTTCTGATGTGACTCTCTCAGGAG